TATACTTATAAGATTTTTATTTTAACATTTTATTTTATTTTCTTTTATTAGAAATGAAATTCCATGTAAACATTAAACATCTGCTCAAAATGTTTGTTAAAGTTGTTTTAGCAATACGAATGAGTGTGCATTTCAACCGCTTTGAGAAAAAAAAAATTTAATATAAAATCCCTGGTAAAAATATTAGCTATTGCACGATTTTTAATCGTGCAATATTAAAATTTCTTTTTGAAAAGAAATAATTGTTATTTGAAAAACCTTAAATTACATATTTGAGAGAGAAAAAAAAAAAAAAATCAAATACTAGCATATTTTTAAATGTTTAGCAATGTATTTTTATTTGTTAAGTATAGACAAAAAACATGGTTGTGTCAAATGTCAACAAAATAAACATTATTATATTTTAAAAAACCAGAAGCAAAAGTTTTCCAAAACATTTTTAATTTTAACAATTGCTGATTTAAAGTAGTTTTGCAGTAATTTAATAAATTGCTGTTCACAAAAAGCAATTAAATAAAGCTGTTCACAAAAATATGATATGCAAATAAAAAAAATTTAATGACGTCAAAAATCACATTGTGCTTATGCGTTGCGCAGTTTTTATTCATCGCAAGGGCTGAGAAAGTAGTTTAACAATCCTAATGAAACACCAAGAAGATCAATGGTAGAAAAAGATGATATAGCAGAGTTTGGTAGCAAAAAAACTGCAATATTAACAAAAGAAGAAGAATTACTTGTTATTAGAATTGGGCAGTGTACTGGCCAATGCTAATAACAAGTAATTCTTCTTCTTTAACTGGCTTTGTGATAGATATGCAAAAAAAAGAAAAAAAAACTGCAGTCAAATTATACCTTAATGCATTAAGGAAGGAAGGAGACAAAACTTAAGGAAACTTACTATGCTGAGACCTTGCTTGCCTGACTCATCAAGATTTAATCAAGACTGATTTGCCAAGAAATGCAAAGTGGATGAGATGCAGTGATAAATGCTATATTACTATCTCCTTCAGAAGAAACTAGAGCAGAAGTAAAAAAAACTCTAAAATAAAAAAAAGAAAACAAGAAGCAAAAACTGAGGATATCATAACTGCAGAAGATTTTATTTAAAAGCTAAGGCAAATAAAAGAAGAGAGAAATACAAGAAGATAAAAGATAAAATTAGAATTAAAAAAATACCCCAAAAAATACCGCAAAAATACTCAACTCAAAAAACCCACTTCTTTTCTGTCGATTTCTGTCATTTTAAATGCTAAATGCTGATAAAATTGTTGTTTACAATCTGATACCCGAGTAACAGGGTAAAATGGTTAGCAAAAACATCCTTAACTCTTTATTTTTATTTTTAATCCCACTAGGAACACAGGAAACTGTTATAATTTCTTTGCAGAAAGTAATGTTATATTTGCAAAATTACAGGTCTATACTATACATTTTAAAGCAAAGTTAAAGCTTTTCAAAGATAAAAAAAAAAAAATGCCAGAAAAGTTCCTAATTTACTCCAATAAACCTTACTTCATTATACTTTTTTAAATATAAGATTTTTCAGTACATATGTACTTAATTTCTGTATAAAAACTTTTATTAAAACACTTTCCCTACATAAAATCTTTTTTATAACATTATGATAATAATTTTAATTATGATAGTAAAAAATATTTTTGATTTTAGAAAAACATATTTTATTCATGTTTTACTTTATACTCCACACAGAAAATATGTTGTTTTTATTTACATTTTTTTAATTCTTTCTGCATTTTCAAAAGAATTTCAAAAAAAAGTTTTTTTTTTGGGCTGGTTTGGTTTTAAAAAAAAAACTACTAATTTTTTACACACCTTTCAGACCCTAGTTGATATAAATTCATGTTATAATAATGACCTAAAGTTTGAACAGTGGAACATTACATTATACAATAAAATAAACTATTTAGTAAACTAAATTAGTTTAATGAACTATTTAGAAACTAATGGTTTTCTCAAGTTTGATATAGCAGCACATACGCGTAGTATATTATTCATGATTGGTAGGTATAGTAATGGCTGTGTTATTTCTAAAATACGGAAATGTTTTATCCTTTTTATTGTTTGCTCCACATAAATACGTACATTAGCAATGTTTGATCTCGAACTTCTTCTTTAACAGCACTTGGAGGTATACAAAGAGTACACTGTTTATATGCAAGGTCTGTCTTTATTTTAAAGCCATAACTTGGTAATAGGGCTCAAGTATATCAAGAAAACCACTACTTCTGACAATAAAAATGTCAGAGGCATGTCCACCATAAAGTGGAGACAGCCATGAAATTCCTTCATACAGAGTTATTGCTATTAAAAATTTGACTGTTGCATGATGTTTATAGTCACTCCACATTCAAGCTTGAACATCAAAAGCACTTGATGTTTCAAAAAATATTTCAGAACAATCTATAACTGTTTTCACTTTTGGATATAATCGCTTAAAACAGTTTGGCATAGTTGCTCGAATTGTATTCTGGCTAGGCCACAAGAGTAGGCATTCCAACTCTTTAGATAACAATATTACCCATGTAATAATAATTTGGGAAACTGTTCCAGCTGATATACAAAAGCGGAAAGCTAAATCTTCAATTAAAAGACCCAAACATAATCTTATCATAACAAAAAAAAAATCCTGTTCCAGTGAGATTTTTCTTTTAGGTTTGCTAAAATAATCTTCTGATAAGTGTAGCTGCTTGACAGATTCAACACTGGACATGGTTTTTCATAATCAATTTGTTCTTTTATTTCCATCCCAGTATTTCATAACTGCTGCTTTGTGCTTGACATAATTGAAACACTTTGAAACATTTTTGCATTTTGTAAACCTGTAAAAGCCGATACATCTGAGTCCCTAGAAATATGACAAAACTGTAAAGCAATATATGTTGATAATAGAGTAGGCTCTATATTATTTTTAACACTATAGCCTGCTTTATTTTTAAACTAAATTGGATTTACAGTCTTTTTCTTTGGGAGAGCCGGGTGGGTGTAATAATTCTTTGGGAGAGTCAGTGATGTGTAAGAATTCTGCTGCAACTGCATCGCCATTAACATATGGAGTTATTTCGAATGATATTAGGCTTTCTTCATATGAAGGAACAATCATAAGATCTGACAACTCTTCAGCTGTAAGTGTATTCGAGTTAGAGCTAATAGATTCAATCATTTTTGAGAAACAGGTTTTACAATAGATGTTGTTCTGATTTTTGGAGTAGGTCTTGATTGTTTTTTTTCTGGAGTACATTGAACATTCATGGTGTATGTCAAAAAGATTGTTGGGTTAGGATTTTCATAAATGGGCATGCCATCGACAAAATGATTAGGGCAGATTTTAAAATGTTTAGGTACAACAAAGTGTTTTTGCCCTTTAGAAACAGCATGAATCCATGATTTTCTTGTTTTTTCATCAACAGGCAATTAGTGGAAGCATAATTTTCCAGATTTAACGTTACTATGTATTTCGCTCTGGATAACGTTTATCGTTATTGCAAATACCAACTACACAGCGATCATTAACCATTATGTTTTTTTAACTGAGATAGTAAACAGTTAAAACTTAGTAATGAACACGACATGATAATAAATATTCAAACAAAAAGATTAAAACTTAATTAAAAGTAAAGAGAATAACTAAAGTTATATAATACAGATTTATTTTTAAACAATAAGAAAGCAAATAAATTCTTTGCAAAAACTCACTGCTTTAATAAGAATAATTTTTTGGTTTGTATCTTTTTCTATTTTATTGAGGTAAAGGTATAAATAAAATATTCTTTATTAAATTTTTTTCAACTTTTATTTTATTTGTGTTTATTTTTGTAAATGTATATCATTTTTAAAACTATACACCTGATGTATTTTTTCTTATTTGTTTATATGTTTATTATTGGTTTGTTTACATTTTTGCCCTCCTGAGAAAAACATAGCATCACGTGATTCATAATAACCGCTTACAAAATCTTCTGTTGTTAAATTAGATGTTTGATATGTATAATTTACAATCCAATCTAGATAAGAGTGTTAAATGGACACAAATTGGCTAATTGTGTTGAATGTAAAAAAATGTAAAATCATGCATGTCAACTCTAGAACAATTAAATTTGATTACTTTAGGAATTAAATTTAAAATGACAGTAAAAACAAAGAAAATAACATGCTCGGAATTAAAGACACGTTTGTATCAAGAGACATTGACATTTGAAAAAAAAAATTATACTGCATATATTAAACCACATCAAGAGTTTCCCGAACAAACTTGGAACCCTTACCATAATAGTGACAAATAAAAAATTGAAAAGGTACAACACAACACCATGAGAATTGGCTCACTCAGGTTTTAAATAATAAAGACTACAAAACTCATTGCAAAATGATGAAATTAACTACAGATTTCAAGATGAAATTAACTTCAGATCAGATTTCATCATGAGATTGTCAGGAACTGTGAGGTAAGACATACATTTTTCAACAATCACGTAGGAATGCTTTTCCAGATAATGTCATCGAGGCAACATCAGTTTATAAATTTAAGCAACTACAAGAGAATTTTCAGTCATTGTAGTTACTATACCTCATCATTTACTGTAAATACCACACAAAAAGAGTTGGCAAAGATGCATATACTAAGCTGATGATGAGTTTCAAAAGGCTGTGGCTTTGTGTGACTTAATTAACTAACCATAAAAAAAATGTAGTTTATCATTTAGAAAACAAAAAATATAAAACGTGTTTTATATTAAAAACTTACAAAAAAAGAGAAAATATAAAATTAACAAAAATACCTAGTTTGCTATAAAAATCTAGTAATAACAGAAACACCTTATTTAAATAAGTAAATACATCTATAGTCAAGTTTAATAATAGTTAAAGTAAAAACATCAAAAACAAGTTTTTTTAAAAAAAAAAAGAAAGTTTTTATCTTATTGAACACCTATATGATTATCTAAAATGACTTATAAAAAATGCTACAAAGTTTTAAAACTTACCCAAAATAGGAAACAAAAGTAAAGATTCATCATAAGATTTTTTTAGAGGATTCAGGTTAACAAGAAACTTTAATAGACTATTTTGGGTTTTATTGGTTAATCCACAAATCATTGATAAACAACTTTTCAGCTTTTCATTAACCATAATCTCATCACTGCTTAAACAATTATATGCATATACAGATGCACAAAACTCCATTATTGTCAAATGCGCAAATTGGTAATGATAGCCTAAATGTGTTTCAACCCTTTCAATAAAACCAAAAAGACATTCTTCAACTTCATTAAAGTCATTGATAAACAGTACAACCTCCTCTTTTGAAAAAATAAATTTATTTGCAATAAACAATTCGAAAGCTATCCTACAAATGTTTAAAACATATTTCTTATTGTTTTCATTTTCCATCATTTGATAAACCAAACCATTGTTTTTGACAATGTGTTTTTGCAAAAAGTATAAAAAAATGTTTGCATATAAATCTGTCATTGTTAAGAAAGATGTTGAATATATTTTGTTTGAATCACTAATGATTTCACACATACAAGATAAATAAAATGGAACAGATGCCATGGCTTTTGCAATTGGAGATACCTTTAAAGTTGCTTTCATAAGTTCTTTTTTTCCATCTTTAAAATTATTTTCTAAATAACTATTTATACCATTTTCATTAAACCCCATTATTTGAATGGTTACCTTATTATGTTCTGTATATATACTTTGATACAGATCAATTGCATAAACTCTACCAGCAACTAAAGATTTGTATTTTCGAACTTCTGTTAAAGCATTAACAATTGGATAATTGGAATTTAAGCCTAGATTTACTAATTCGTTTAAATATTTAAACTCATCTAATCCATCAATTATAAACAGTGCAGAATGATTACTAATACTAAAATCATTTATAATATCTTTGTAGAAAACATTTAGTAATTCATTAATATTAGAAATGTTTTGATATTGATTAAGCCTTCTACATTCCAAATAAAAAACAAGTTTAACATTTTTCCAAATTAAATTATTTGACCAATCAAGCAAGCATTTTCTAAGCAACCATGTTTTCCCAATACCAGCTATTCCAGATATTAATAATGCCGGTTTTTCTTTCATAAATATTTCACTATATGGTATAGGTGTATAACTCATTTGCTTTGCAAGAAATTTATTCCGCTCAGCACTACAAACAGCATCCAATTGAGCATCCACTGCATCAACAATACATAGATCAACAAATTTATGCATTAGATCAACATTTGCAAGTGTTTTCAATAGTGGTTGAAGTTCACTAATTTTCCCATAATATTCAAGATAAAACCTTTTTAGTTCAGCAGACACTATTGACAAATCTAATTTGAAAAAAAAAAAAAATTCTAGTTAAGGCATCATCAAGATTTGACATCATATCGTTCATGATAATGTTCATGATGATGATTTATCACTTAATATAAACACTTATACATAAGTATACACACAAATATACATGCACATATATATAGAGATATATAAAAAAAACAAATATAACAATGGTTGTCGAAGTAAGTATTGAATGTTCCAATAGAAGAGTCAAGTATTACTAGAAACCAGCATAAAAAATTTATTCCTGAACCATATCCAGCTAACCCAGTAATACCACAAATTACCCCCGAAAACCTTTTTTTATTTAAAGTTTAAGTTATCATTTTTAACAATTTACTTACAAAAGGTTAAAAAACTTTTGCTAACAAAACTTTTTGTTAACAAAACTTTTAAAAGGGATAAGCAAAAATTATTAAAACTTCAACACCAAACAATCAAAGAATACGTATGATATTCATTGTGGAAAATGAAAACAAAATAAATTGAGTAAGAGATTGAGAAAGAGAAAAACTTAAAACTTTAAGCCTGAATGGTTAGTGGTACTAGAGTTAAGCCATTCCAGTGTAAAGAGAATTTAAGTCACCATTACCAAAAATATTGTATGAAAAATAGAAAAAGGGGTTGATCAATTTTATCCAAAGTAACATAAAAAAAACGTAATCTTTTTTCAAGTGACTTATAAATTCATGTGAATTAAGGATAGTGATCAACTATTGAACTCCCTTTAAGGATAACTAAGCTCAATATCACAATAATGACCTATTTTACTTGTTAAAATTGATTTCAATGAAATCAATTTTAACAAGTATAATATTTTAATAGTAAAATAAATAAAATCTCTGGGTCATTTGACACAGAGATTTTCAAAAATGTCACCCTATATCTCAAATTTTGCTGATTTTTATACAGTTGAAAGTACTTAGTAAATTAAGAATTCCTTAAAAATTAGCCTCTGGGTCCTGAAATATGACCATTTTAATTTTAACAGAAGTTGGCCAGGCTGGCCCCTTTGTCCCTTCAGAAATGCAACTTTTATTTAGAGGTTACAAGTTACATAACTTCAAAAATATTTGATCTTTCTACTTAAAAATGTGTACCTGGCTATTTTTAGGGGTGTCAAATCCAATAAAATAATCAGAAATGTAAAAAACTATTTTTAAGAACCTGTATTTATTAATTTAAATAAACTTTGGCAATTTTTTATATACCTGATATTGATGCTCAAGAAACTCGTGTGGTCTTGATAATATCAAAAAAAAAAATATAAAACAAAGGATTTTATATTGATTGACTTTTTAAAAAAATATAAGGATTTTAATCTGCAAGAATATGGATTTCCATATATAGATAACAGGGCATGGTCTCCACATTTTTGTAGGGAAGTATTGCAATTGATTTTTCACTACCTTCCAGACTAGCTGGAAACTTTTTGAATTGAAAAAAGGAGATATTTTTTAACGCTAAAATGTTAACAGAAAGTTGTTTAATTAACTAAAATTCAACAGTAAAAACAAGACATCCTGTCATAACATTACATCGATAAAAAAACAAAATTATCACCTTTTGAAACCATTATTTTATTTAATTTTTGCAAATTCTAATATGTTTATGGCAAGTTTTTTTGTTTTATTGAACAAGAACTGCTAACGGTAACAAAAAAATGTCCTGTCATTACATTAGTATAGAAGAAATTTATTACCCATTAAATTCATCACTAAAATTTTTAACATTAACAAATTAAATACAATTAAACAAACTTATTAAAGAAAAAAAAATTATCTTTTACATTCAAAGAAATCAATCAATGTTTACCATTACGATGGTGTTTAAGTTGCTTTAATTATATATAAATATATAAAGAACTGTATTTTTCTTTTAAAACTAAATATCCTCAAGAAGTTATTGGGTTTTCTAAGTTTTAGAGCATTAGGGAATTACTGCCTATGTGTATGCACACACCATTAAAATGCAATACTCGTGACCAATGCTATACAATTAAAATGTACTTGAAAAGATCTGATGGCAAAAGTTGCTTGTGATGTTACAAGTAATGAGTGCATGGTTCATTGATGTTCATCGATGTCACATCGATGTTGGCAAAAGACTGCTGTATTGTCTTAATTGATTTTGCAGAAAACTATACATTTGTGATTCAAGATGAAATCTAAAGTTACCATTGATGTCAAAGTCAATGCATGTTACATCCTGTATTAAAATCGTTTTGCTTCATGTCAGAAGATAATGAGCATGACACTGGTTTTTTGTAGAAGTTCAGACACTAATAGTTAATTATTTAAAAGAAAATCATCTTAATATTTCCAAGATTCCTTATTTTTCAGATGGTTCTGCTGCACAGTATCAAAACCACAAAAACCTTCACAATATCTGTCTCCATAAAGATGATTTTGACATGATGCAGAGTGGACATTTTTTACTACAAGTCATGATAACTCACTATGTGATGGTATTGGCGGCACTGTAAAAGAAAACTTTGTAGACTTGCGAATGCAAGTCTACAAAGGCGTATAAATGACAAGATATTGAATTGTTATAAAATATTTGACTGGACAAATAATATTAAAGGGATTATTTTTTTCAAGATTGAAAAAGAAAGACTGAGAGAACTGTGCACCACTTTGAAAAAGCGTTTTCAGTTCAGTAGAACAATTCCTAGAACTAGGAGCTATCATCAATTTAACCCAGCATCTATAGATACTATTAGCTTTAAACGAACAAGTGAAGATTTTAATATCACAGGCATATTTTCTTTTTCTGGTATTCAAAGTATTCAAATTTTTCTGGTATTCAACCTAATCAGCAAATTAATATCACTAAATTGAAATTTGGTGAGTTTATTCTGTGCAAATATGTTACATTTAATTGAATTGGTAAGATAAATGAAACTGATTATATTGAGCAAGATGTTATGGTAACATTTATTAGTGATGTACCGATTGCACATTTTTGGCCGATGCCAATACCGATGGATAGGAAAAGGCCGATACCAATGCCGATACCGATAGATTAACTAACTATTATAATTTTGAAAATATAAAACCATACAACTTTAAATCGTGTAAAATTTTTCATGGAACTGGTAAGCAAATACTTGGACCCAAATCAGAGTCAAACCTTTATTTTAAAAGATATTAGAAAAGCTCAATTAAATAAATATACATTTTTTACTTTTTTTAACTATGAAAAGAAAACTTTCAAAAAATAAATACAATTTTAGAGGAACACTTTTTATTTCAATTTTAAAAAGAAAATGGCATTAAGATAAGCAGTTTACTTAGAATTTTAAGCTCTTTATAAAAAACAAATAAAAATAACCTTTATAACATGAAATATATACATTTTCTCAAAATAAAATAAGAGACTTCAAAATCAAATACAAAAGAAAATAATAGCTTTAAGATTCTAAAGGAAGCACCAATAGCAGTTGTAACAATATTTAGTACTTAAAATTGTGTATACGAATATTGTAATGTAAAAACATAAGCATTTCTCCTGTTTCCGGAGTCAACTTACTTCGTCGTGGAGAATAAATTTGTCCTCCACAACTAAATAATCGTTCACTTTCAACAGAAGATGGAGGGCATAATAAATACTTCTGAGCTATTGGAGCTAATTGTTTGAAGTTGTTTCTATTTGCTCCCCGCCATACTATAGGACTATCTTGTTGCATGATTATGTCTTGACTCAAATACATTAAAACTTCATTTTTCAATTTTATATAATGTTTGCTTTCTGTTTCTTGCAGAACTTCAGATATGGATGTGTTTTCAATTAAAATGATTTTATTTTTAATAAAATTTTCCCTTTCCTTGGATCTAAAAATGTGGCTAAAATGAGATTTTTGTCATTGAGATATTTTTCAAATCTTTCATTTGCTGAGTTTTTAGATTCTTTTAAAATTGTTCCTAATCCAAAAAACAAGGGAGACTTTTCAGCTTGAATTAACATGGTTTGTATAACTTGTACAGTTGGAATTATAGCAGATGCAATTGCTTCACGCTCACTTAATAAATTTGTTATATCATTAAACACTTTTAAAAATCGTTGTAATTTTTCTAAAATAATCCATTCATTGTTTTCCAAGGACTTTAGTTTAGAGTTATCATTATCACAACAAAATGGGATTAAAGCACGCTTCTGTTCAAAAATTCTTTCAAACATAAAGTATTGATTATTCCATCTTGTTGCAATGTCTTGTTTAAACCTATTTTGTGGCACTTAATATTGAGTTTAATATTTTCGATACGCTTCAAAAGAAGATGGAGAATGATTAAAATGGGTTACTATGTTTTTACAAGTTGTTGATATATTTTTGATATATATCTGGGCAAATACAGTGTCATTCAACACAAGTTGCAAAGTGTGTAAAAAACACGGCAAGCTATTGTAACCTGCCTCTCTTATTCCAGCTGCCATATTAGCTGCATTATCTCTAGCAACTAAATGTACATTTGAAGCTGGAATAAAAAAATCATTCATAGAACTTTGAATTCCTTCGCATATATTTTTGGCAGTATGAGATACATTAAATTGACAAACTTGAAGAACTGCTGACTTTTGATGAAACTCATTAGTTAACCAATGAGCTGCCAAGCTAAGAAATGAGCATTTTCCGTTGGTAGATGCCCATCCATCAGTTGTAAATGAAATGTAAGAAGCATCATTTATTTCTATTTGGATATTTTGTCTGACTTTGTCATATATATTTTGAAAAACAGTGTTTTTAATGTACTTTCTACTTGGTATACAATAGTTAGGACATATATGATTTAGCAATCTTTGAAATCTGATGTCTTCTACTATTGAAAAAGGTTGAATATCAACTGCAATCATTTCTGCAATATAGTTATAAATTAATTTAGATCTGTGATCATTAATGTCCCAGGGTTTTTTTCTCGCAAGTGTTTCAAACAAAGTTTGTTGGGACTGTTTTGAGCAACTTGCTTCAGTTGACTTGATTTTCTTGAACACA